TGCCGACAGCAGGTGCCGCTGTGCACCTGCGCCAGAGCCGGCTCCGCGCTGCCGGCGCCTGCCGGCTGCTTCCCCGGGCCCCGCCAAGTGCTTTGAGTTTAGACTTGCTTTCCTGGGACCTCGTCTGTCTTCAGAGTGTGCTGCTTCTAGAGGATCCAGCGTTTTCTAATCGACAGTTAGATTTGCATCCTGTTTGCATCCAGAACAGCAAGTACCTTAGAGATCCAGTTTGTTGGATCACAATTTGTAGGAAGTACAGGCTGAAGTGAATAAAAAAATGAACTTTCCTGAATCAGAAATGAACCTTTTTGACATTTCAACAACTAGACTTTTGTCAAAGTTGCTTTCCTCCAAAGATGTTCCTTACAACCTCCAGCAATGTTGTAAAAATAGATTTTAATTTTCTTTTCCTTCAGCAATTGATTTCCAAAGCGTAAGGACTTACTGCCAAAAAACAGGTGGTTCCACTTTTAATCAAGTCCAAGAGCACTTTATCTTTAGAAGATGAAGAATTAGGTTCATACCTTAACAAATCCTCTAGTCTGGTGGTCACCAGCTCATTTGCAGCAATTTTATTTAGTCTTAAGATTTCATACCTCCCTATTGACCTCAAAGGGGGCTTTCTCCTAAACTATTAACTAGAAAGAGACCAGTAAAAAGTTAATTTTCTCCTAGAACAGGGCATGAAGAAGACAAGATTTGGACAGTTTTTAAAAAGTGCTTCTCCTTTTGTCTGAAAACTCACTGTGCAGACTGAAAGCCTATTTTTACTTACTCAGGTAGAGTTGAGGAGTACTTCAGCTGCTGCATCTTAACAGTTTGGAAGATCCAGATGTTACTCTCATTTATACTGGTTACACAAATGACTTAAAACCATCCTGAGGCTTTTATACTTGCACATAGAACACTTTCATTTAGCTACTAAGCCATCAAATTCTTGCCCACTCTCTGTTGTTGTAGTTCTGCTATCAAAAATTTCACAGCAACTGTTTTAGCAAAAGTTGGCAATGAAATCTGCAAGAGACCAGGACTGGGATTTAACATGAAATCAGTAGGTCATACTCTTCACTCTAATTAGTACTTTACTGTTGAAGTTCATAGATAATGCCTCATCAAAGTTCATATCTTTAAGGGAGTGCATTTTGATTATGACTGAATGGTTTTGTTATTGCTTGAAATCCTGGGTATTGCAGGTAGGCTTTCCCTTTTTCCTCACACCCCATTCTTTCTAATATCTCTCATTTCTTTCTTTTGACTTTCAGTGGGAGTTTTGTCTGGTCCTCGCTGGGTCTGACTGCCATGGCCTTCGTTACTGGAGCCCTGGGAATGTGGGTACCTCTGTTTCTTTACAGGGCTCAGGTTATCCAGGGCATTGTATCACCATGCCTCCAAGAACCATGCAATTCATCTAACAGGTGAGGTGTGCATGACTGTGGAAACATACTTAGAAACACTGCACAGTGCTAAATCACAGGTTGTTTCCAAAGGCAGAAGGTAGGGTGTGACTGTGAACACTTCTTGTGAAGACAATTGGGTGTGAATGTTAGACTTAATTGCTTCCAGGTATGCTGAGACACTCCCATTTGTTTGTTTGTTTATAATCACTCCGTTAACTGGAAAGATGCTGCCAGCCCTATTTAAGTAAGGCAGAAAGAAGCAGTAACAGGAACACTTGCAGGAAAAAAGGAGCAGTTTTAGCAAGGATACTTCAGTTGACAATCGACTGTGCACCCCAAGCTACTTAAATACCCATTTAAGCATGTTTAGATCCTGTGTTTTGGTAACTTTCCTGTTATCTTCTCATTAGTCTGGTTTTAAAACTCCTGCCATGTTGGCCAGGTCATTGATGAATTTGATCTAGTGTCATATCATTACCTCCAAACAGGATAATTCAGTCTTGTGAGTAACTGCCAGGAGAGCTCTGCTTACAGACGCTGTCCAGACCAATAAAGATTCGTGAATAAGTATTGAATGTTGGATAGGCAAGGGGAATTTACAACAGGAGAGGACTTTGAAGTAATCGTAATACAATTTTTTGGAGATCACTTTTCACCAGCCTGGAAGAGAATTTTTTTCCTTACAATGTGTTATCCAGAATAGAAAAATGTATTCGGTGTTCCTCTTGAGTCTTCTTGGCTGCCCTTGATAACAGTGAGCACTGGGACACTTCTCTTCTGTGTACTGACTCCCTACCAGTGGCCTCCGTACAAGTGTACCTTTCTTCTGGAGGTATCCCAGATCTGTTTTCAGTCTCTGCCTTCATGATGGATTCCTAAGAACTAACTGCTTACTACATTGTCTTTCCAGATAAAAACAATTAAAGGGAAAAGCAGGAATCATGCCTTGAGTGTGTCCTCTGGTAATGGGGCTCTTTTGCTTTTCTGCAATGGCATAATTGAGTCAACTCAAAAGTCGTTTCCAAGTTGTAGTGTAACCTGGTGGATTGAACAGTCATCCACAAGTACTTCAATGCAATTGTCCCTCCATGGATACCACCATTACTTAATGGCAAATAATGCTGAGGAAGGGAGTGAACTCAGGAGTCTGGCTCAGGGTAGGCGCAGAAGGGAAGCCGAACAGCTTAAACTGTTCAGCTGTATCTGTTAACAGATACAGTTTAAATACTTCTTTTATTAAGCTGAAGGTGTTAGCCTATGTTTTGTTTTCTAATCCACCTTCTGAATTATTATTCCACAGTAGTGTTGCTAGAGCAGACACGGTCTTCAGGGAAGTAAAATGGAGCACCTGATAGTTTAGCCTCATGTACTGCTTCTTACAGAATGCTTTAAAAATAACCTTGGCATAAGCTAGTGCCAGAAGCAGCATAAGGCTGGTTTTAGACTGTTATTCCAGGGGGATGTAAAGAAACATAATATAAACAACTATGTCAGACCTGTAGCTGATAGTGCTGGAAGAACTGAGCTGCACATTCCCAGACCTGCCCAGGGATACCTTAAGGACGTTTTCCCTTCTGGCTGTTCAGCAGTTGCAGGCTTTGTTTAAGGATCAGGGCTGTGTCACTTAGAGTCCCTGGAAACACAAATTCAAATGGCACAACAGCTGACTCAGGTCTCAGTCCTTTCAAGGTGGATAAATAGGCAGTATGAAGTTTTTATTTAGGTCTTTGTGCCGACACTTTCGAACAGATCAGACAGATAAGTGAGCATTCTCAGACTCTAAAAGATCCCATAGGAGTCTTTCCCAGGACTAGGCTTCCGTACTTTCCTACTCCCTGTCAATTGAACTGTGCTTGGATTTAGTTTTGGCTGTTCCCTTTTCTTCCAGCTGCAGGTTTATTTCAGCTGCTCTTTACAACACATGAATCTTCTAAACACAATTCCATGAATGCTTCCAACTAACATCACCTTGAAATTGCCTCTCCCGGACAAGTCTCTGAGACAGTTATTCTGCCTATATACATACAATATAGATTGTCACTATCAAGCTATAGTGAGTGATGGATCAGAATTCTGAAGAACTTACAGGGACAGTACAAATATGCTTGAAGTTTGTTCTCTTGTATAGCAATACTTTCTTTTTTTTTTTCCTTGTAGAATTATTGAGTTCTTGCTAATCAGCCAGAAAGAAATTAAAAAGTAGATGCACAGTAGTTTAAAGGAATAGATCATATCCTAGCTGGTTACTTTGCTTTGCAGTCAGAGAAAACTTGGGAAAATGTACAGAATTTACCATGTAGCACTCTGAAATATTTAGAAGCACTTGTGCTCAGAACACAGTGTTCCTGTCCCCATTTGCCTCAGGAGAATTATGATGCATTAAACAATCAGTGGCACCACTGGTCTTGTTGCAAGAGACTTGCTTTGTCATTAGGTCTCATTTGGGACAGAGAGAAAAGCATAAATGGAAGTCCCTTTGGAAGATGAATCTTCTAAGCTATTCAAATACATACTTTTAAAACATGAACTTGTCATTCCTGGAGAACGCATTTGCATTTGCAGACACACAAAGCTGAGTGGCATTTGAAATTCTGCATTCAGAAAATACTATATGGACCTCCCACTAGTTAGCTATTCAGTATTCTTTGAACTCTTTTGGGAAGTGGTAGATGTTTCATATAGTCAGAGAAGTGACTCATCTCAGCTGTGCTAACTAGAAGGTTATAATTTAAATGTATATAATTCCACGTGATAGGATCTCTTCCAAGACAGCAGATTGTGATACAGAGTTATTCCATCTGTGTTTTAGGGATGACTGAGCAGATTGGTTCACAGGGTAACCAAGATGACTGTGTCTCCTCTAAATCACTGCATGTCCAAGCCAGGTCATACTGAGAAGAGTCCTCCTTGAGCCTGGGTGCATAACACCTGCTCTGTAAATGGGAAAATATCTGCTCCACAGGATAGAGCCTCAGTTGCAGAGGCATAGCTTCAGTTGAGGCTTGGGATTAAATCCATTTAGAAGGAGTGGGACGGTTAGATCAAGCAGAATAAAATTCAAGTTCCCCATTAAAGATTCCTCTGAAACTAAAGGTATAAGCTAACACCAGGTTTTTTTCCACAGTATGGTCTTACTATGCTCAACTGAATCCTTTGCTTTGTCACCAGCCTAATATTTGGAGGCATCACCATTGGGACAGGAATCTTGGGTGTCATTGCTGGGGCAGAAGCTGCAAGAAGATTAAGGAAAATAAACAATAAAGCTGATCCTCTGATCTGTGCCACAAGCATGTTCATTTCTGCTCCGTGCCTCTACATAGCTCTGATGGTGGCCCAGACGAACATCCTTTCCACTTTTGTAAGTGCCAATCTGTCTATCATTAGCAAAATGTCTTCTGGGGTCCTGGGGAGAAAGGGAAGGAGGAGAAGGAGGCAAGGGGTGGCTTTTGCAGAATTCTCTGCAATCTGCTAGACCATTTAGAAGTTTCAATGACTTGTGACAAGGTGGCCTGCCAGCTAAGCACTGTGTATGTTGCTCTAATCCTGCCCGCAGCTGCAGTCTGTCCTGTGAAAGCTGCGTTGTGCCTTGGTGCAGTAAAAAGGGCAGGCAGTCAGAGCATTATAAATTGGGTCTCAGGACCCACAGACTCTGCCCACACTAAAGAAGAGAATAGTAAGCCTATGTAGTTAGCTGCATGAAGCTAGTGTTCCTTATCCAAAAATGTAGTTAAAGGAAGTCTCAATCTTGCGTTAATTTATAATGCTATGTGACTAATTTAGTATTCTTACTTATTTTTACTCTCCGAATACTTAAAGATTGCTGTACCTGTGACTGTACAGTACCCAAAATTCTTGCTAAGAATAATTTAGCCATCACCTTCAAAGCCCCAAATCACTAGCTGATCTTCAAAGTCAAGCTTTTGGCAATGCAAACTGAAGTATAAATCACTTAAATTCTGTTCTCAGTAAAGGGAAAAACAGAAGCTTACTGGGAATGATGAATAGTTCAAAAAAATCCCTGTGAGAAGGAATTGAATGTAAACCTTATTTTAACTATAATCTGGTAACAGCTAGGGAAA